CGGAAAAAGACGAAGAGAGAAGCAGGAGAATGATGGAGATGGTGGTGGGTTTTTTTTTTTAATTATTTTAGTCTAAAAGCTTCTTCTTTTATTTAATTTTCTATTATTTTGACCTTAAGAAGAAAGTGACAAGGAGAAGAAGAGAAAAAATTAATTAGAGGAAAAAAAGTTGGATTTGTTTTTTCAATAAATTGGGTAGTTAAAAGGAAGTGAAAGGGCGGTTTTTGGTGGTGGTGGTCGAGAAAAGAGAGCTCTTTCTTTGCGATCAGAGGTATAATTCTTTTTCTCTTTGTTTCTTTGATTATTACTAAGAAAATCTGAGAAAATCCCAGAAAATCCGAGAAAAAAACGATGAACTTTGGAGATTTTCTGTGTGTTCATTTATGGATTTGATTAGTCACTGGATATATGTATTAGTTTCATTTGCATAGTTCGTTGTACTTACATGAAATTTCGTACCTTTTTCGGTTTCTCAAGTTTTGTTTGTTTTTGTTTTTAATTGATTTTGCTGGTTGGAAAATGAGTTAACAACAAAAGGGCATGTTTGTGTTCTCATGATTAGTTTTTTTTTTTTCCCTTTCAGATGTTGCAAAAAAATGGTTAATTATGGATCTGTTAGTGTTTATTTTTGGTTTTGTTTGTTTAAAGTTGGAAACTTTGTATCCCAACTAACAAACTCTTTCTTTTCTCTCCCCTCTTTCAAGTTTCTGCAGTTTCAAAATTCTGTTTTTCATGTTATATGTTTATGTATAATATACCTTTAATCAGAAGGAAAGATTCATCTGTGGGTTTTGGCTCTTGATTTCAATACATTTCTTCAATTTTTGCAGTGATATCAATCGAGCGGGAAAGATTTTTGCCTTTTGTCATGGGAGACAACGAGCTGTCTCACCTCAAATTCTCTCTTTTGCTCGAATCATCAGCTTGTAATGATCTCTGTGGTTTCAAGTCTTTAGTTGAAGAAGAAGGTCCTGAGAGCATTGATCGGTCTGGTTTGTGGTATGGGAGGAGAATTGGATCAAAGAAGATGGGTTTTGAAGAGAGGACGCCTCTTATGATCGCTGCGTTGTTTGGAAGCAAAGAGATCGTTGACTTCATCATTAGTACCGGTCTTGTAGATGTGAATCGCTCTTGTGGCTCTGATGGTGCCACGGCGCTTCACTGCGCGGTCTCTGGCGTGTCTGTAAATAGTCTCGAGGTCGTTACTCTTCTGCTCAACGGGTCTGCGGATCCAGATTCTTGTGATGCTTATGGTAACAAGCCTGTCGATACGATTTTCCCGTGTTTGAGTCCGGTTTTTAGCGCGAGGAAGAAGGTTTTGGAGCGTTTGTTGAAAGGAGGTAATGATTT